GCCCCAAACTAGAAACAGCTCAGCTATCCTTCAATGGGTTATACTCTCGTCACCCATGCCTACTACTGAGCAATGAAAAGGAACAGATTATTACGACTCACAACAACCTGGTGCATCTCTAGAGAATTCTTCTGAGTTTCATATTGCATGACTCCACTTATATAACGTTCTTGAAGTGACTAAAGTACAGAAATGGAGAACATACTAGTGGTTGCCAAGGTTTGGGAGGGGATGGGAGTAGGAGGGAGGTGGGTGTGAATACAGAGAGTGACTTGAGGGGGCCTTGAGGTGACAGAATTCTGCATCTTGACTGTGTCAATGTCATCATCCTGGCTGTGATACTGTACTACAGTTTTGCAAGATGTTCCCACTAGGGAAGACTAGATAAAGGGTACATATTCACTTCTTACAATTGTGTATAAATCACAATTATCTTAAAATGAAATGTTTAAATTTTAAAGAAGCTACTAAAATATATTTTGGGGCCTTGGTATGTTCACTGGTGAAATCTACTAAATATTTAAGGAAAAAATCATTCCAATTCTTTCCTATCCCTTCTGGGACACAGAAGCTGAGGGAATACTTCCTAACTCATTCTAACTCATCCTGTGAGTGCAATGCTACCCTAAAAAAGACACGTATACACAAAAACACTACCCAAAAACTACAGACCAATATCTCTGACGAACATAAATGCCAAAATCCTCAACAAAGTATTGCAAGTCAAATCCGATTGAGTATAAAAAATTATACACCACAACTAAGTGGGATTTAACCTCCGTATGTAAGTCTGGTCAACAATCAAAAGTCAGTGAAGGTAAGATCTTCCTGGTCGTTCAGTGCAGGGGACACAGGCCCAGTCCCTGTTGCAGAGGGGCCCTGCGTGCCGAGGAGCAGCTGAGCCACGCGTCACTGCTGGGCCAGCGCTCTGGAGCCCGGGAGCCGGAACTACCGAGGCCCGAGCACCCTAGAGCCCACGCTCGGCAGCAGGAGAAGCTCCTGCGGCGAGAAGCCCGAGCACCCTGGGGAAGAGTGGCTCCTGCTTGCCGCAGCGAGAATAGCCACGAACGACCGGCATAGCCAAAAAAAGAAAAATTTTAATGCGATCCATCGCATAAATAGGCTAAAGAAGAAAAATCTCAGGATCTTATCAGTAGATGCAGAAAAGACATGTGACAAAATCCAATACCTGTAGATGATTTAAAAAATAATAAGCCTTTGGTAAACAATGAATCAATAAAGAATATCTACAACTTGATAAAGAATATCTAACAAAAATCCTACATGCATGCGTGCTAAGTCGCCTCAGTCATCTCCGACTCTTTGTAACCCTATGGACTCTAGCCTGCCAGGCTCCTCAGGCAAGAAAACTGGAGTGGATTGCCATGACCTCCTCCAAGGATCAAACCTGCATCTCTTAAGTCTCCTGCACTGGCAGGCTGGTTCTTTACCACATTATACTTAACAGTGAGAAATTAGAAACTTTCCCACTAAGATGAGGAACAAGACAAGGATGTCCCCTCTCATTACCACCTTTCAACACCATACTGGAAGTTCCAACTAATACAAAAATATACAGATTGAGATGGAAGAAATAAAACTTCCTTTGTTCAAAGATGACACAATTGACTCTGTTAAAAATCAGTCCCCAAACTCCTCGGACAGAAAGAATTAATTATAGCAAGGTTGCAGGATACAAGGTTAATATACAGAAGTTAATCTCTTTCCCATATAGCACTAATGAACAAGCGGAATTTGAAATTAAAAACACAATACCACTTAGCTTAGCACTCCCAAAATAAAATACTTAGGTATAAATCTAACAAAACATGTACAAGATCTACATGAGGGGCTTCTGTGGTGGTCCAGTGGTTAAGAATCCTCCTTGCAATACATGGGACACTGGTTCTATCTCTAGCCCAGGAAGATCCCACATGTGGTTCNTGTACTCTGCATATAAGTTAAATAAGCAGGGTGACAATATACAGCCTTGATGTACTCCTTTCCCAATTTGGAACCAGTCTATTTTTCCATGTCCAGTTCTAACTGTTGCTTCCTGACCTGCATACAGATTTCTCAAGAGGCAGGTCAAGTGGCCTGGTGTTCCCATCTCTTGAGGAATTCTCCACAGTTTGTTGTGATCCACACGGTCACAGGCTTTAGCAGAGTCAATAAAGCAGAGGTAGGAGCAACTAAGTGCCTGCACCATTGAGCCTGTGCCCTGGAGCCCGGGGCAGCAGCGACCGAAGTGAGAAAAGCCACTGCAACGAGAAGCCCACACACCGTAACTAAAGAGCAGCCGTGCTCTCCACAATCAGAGAAAAGCCTGTGCAGCAAGGAAAACCCAACACAGTCAAACAAACATTTAAAAAATCAAAGATGAGCTAAATAGACATTCCATGTTCCTGGAGAGAAAGACTCAAAGTGTTTAAGATGTCAGTTCTTCTCAACTTGATCTGTAGAATCAACACAATCCCAATCAAAATCTCAGCAGGTTATTTCGTGGATGTCAAAAAACTTATTCTAAAGTGACATGAAGAGGTAAAAGACCTAGAATGGCCAACATGATATTGAAGAAGAACAAAGTTTGAGGACTGACAGCACCCGACTTTAAGACTTACTATAAAGCTATAGCAATCAAGACAGTGTGATATTTGGGGGAAAATTAACAAACAGATCAATGGAACAGAATAGAGAGACAGAAACATACCCACATGAATATAGTCAACTGACAGGGAATTCCCTGGTGGTCCAGTGGTTGGGACTTGGTGCTTTCACTGCCAGGGCCTGGGGTTTGATCCCTGGTTGGGGGACTAAGGTCCCACCAGCTGTGTGCTATGGCCAAAAGACAAACAAGCAAACAAAACAGAAAAAAAAAAAAAGAAAAACTATGTATAGTCAACTGATCTGTGGCAAAGGAGCAAAGGCAATACAATAAAGAAAAGATAGTCTTTTCAGCAAATGGTGCCAGAACAACTGCACATCCACATGCAGAAAAATGAACCTAGACACAGACCATATATTCTTCACAAAAATTAACTCAAAGTGGATCACAGACACAAGTGTAATGAGAAATGCAGGGCTAGATGAAGCTCAAACTGGAATCAAGATTGCCGGGAGAAATATCAATAACCTCAGATATGCAGATGACATCACCCTAATGGCAAAAAACAAAGAGGAACTAAAGTAAAGAGCCTCTTGATGAAGATGAAAGAGGAGACTGAAAAAGCTGGCTAAAGACTCAACATTCAAAAAACTAAGATCAGGGCATCCAGTCCCATCACTTCATGGCAAATAGATGGGGAAACTGGAAACAGTGACAGACTTTTTTTCTTGGGTCCAAAATCACTGTGGACAGTGACTACAGCCATGAAATTATAAGACACTTGCTCCTTGGAAGAAAAGCTATGACAAATCTAGGCAGTGTATTAAAAAAAGAGAGAGATCACTTTGCCAACAAAGGTTCATATAGTCAAAGCTATGGTTTTCCAGTAGTCGTGTACGGATGTGAGAGTTGAACCATAAAGAAGGCTGAGTGCCAAAGAATTGATGCTTTTGAACAGTGGTGCCGGAGAAGACTCTTGAGAGTTTCTTGGACTGCAAGGAGATCAAACCAGTCAGTTGTAAAGGAAATTAATCCTGAATATTCATTGGAAGTACTGATGTTGAAGCTGAAGCTCCAATACTCTGGCTACCTGATGCAAAGAACTGACTCATTAGAAAAGACCCTGATGCTGGGAAATATTGAAGGCAGGAGGAGAAGGGGTGACAGAGGATGAGATGTTTGGATGGCATCATCAATTCAGTGGACATGAGTTTGAGCAAACTCAGGGAGATAGTGAAGGACAGGGAAGCCTGGCTTGCTGCAGTCCACGGGGTTGCAAACTAGTCAGACACAACCAAGTGACTGAACAACAACAAATTCCCCCTTTGGTTCCCCATCAGAACTAGGCTGTTCCAAACACAGCTCTACAAATCTCAACTTACTCCTTGGCTTCTTGCTTACTGATGTGCCCAGTGACCATATCCTAAGACCCCACTTCTTTAAGTGGTGTGTTTGTGAGTGAGCTTTTTGAACATTCTCCAAGGGGCCAACACTCTTAAGGAACACAGAAACATAACTAATATATGTTCGGTTGTTAAGTTAATTGCAATAATGGAAGAATTTGAAATTTTTGAAATTTTGAAATTTTTATTCCTCTTTGTTTTTACAATAGAACCAAAAGAGAGTCAACCTAATAACTTATTTTTCCTGCTGACTTCTGCAAATTAGTTATTTTAACCATATTTTACAAACAATAGTAATATTATAACAGTAATTATGGAGAAGTTAATTGGATAATAGAGCTTTTCCAAAATTTAAATGGAAACATATAAGAAACTAGATAATTTCAGCCTCACAACTCAAAATGCTACTGATCAAACCAACCCCACTGTCTGCACTTCATGGTGACCCTAGAGGAGACTAGTAATTTCTGAGACTCCAGGGAAATATTTACACTTAGAAATTCTCCAAGGTATTTGGTAGTTCTCTACAGATTTTACGTTGTACCTTAGCAGCTTATCTGGGGAATTTATTTCTAAACAATTTAGAGGAAAAATCATTATGGCTTTTCATGCAGAGAAGCCTCCAGAGGAGGAAAATTCCCTGGAGAGGGTGAAGTCAATAGGAAAGGACTTGTATTTCTCTCCAGGGCCTGCTTCCACCCTCCATTACTCAATGTTAGTGCAGACCATTCTCTCAGGATTACAGGAACCCACACTGTTTCCTTGGGTCCAGACAACAACAGTAGGGTCATGCACCTCCTCAAAAAGTGGGGCAGGATTTTAGTCACCAAATCCCTTAGAGACTCTGAGTAGCCCCTCAATATCCTGATGCAGAGAGAAAATTTGTTCTTAATGATGAAGCTATTGGTGCAGACCCAGCCTCATGCTCCTTAAAACAACCTTGCTAAACTACAGATTTCCTTCAGAATACGGACACAAAACCTACACGCATCTGTATTTCACCATGCTGTGCTTTACTCAATCTTCAGCCCTTTGGATTTAAACTCAGTATGGAGAATCTGTGACAAGCATCTCCCGAACTCCTCTAGGATCATTTGCTCCGCCAGGCACTCGGAGCAGTGCTCCTTCTCCGCTTCTTCGCCCTGGGCCAGCAAGCAGGCACATGTGGCTTCCACCACCTCCCAGGAGATGCACGAGGTCGACCGCCTGTCAGAGCAAACCAGTTGAAGGCCACGTTCAGTCACTCCACTGTTTTAAATACCTTTCACAGTCCATGGACATGCTTGTTATAGCACTTTAAAAAATGCCACTGGTAAAATCTAATGTTGTCTTAATACTGGAAATTATATGCCCTGTGACCATATAAAGGACTGCTTTTAGAAGAAGAATGCAGAGGACAGATGAGCCTGTCAGCTCCTAGACATCCTTTTCCCTGAAGATTCTAAATTGTCTCAAACTTGGATCCACAAAGGAGCCTGGAGACCTGGGCTGCAGCATCAAGTCTGCAGGCTGGGCAGGGGTTGAAGCAGCAGGAGTCTTAGCTAAGACAAGCCGTGGTCTGGGCTCCTCGCACAGGTCTGTCTGCCTGAGGAAAGCAGCCGCAGCATAGCGGGCTCTGGGCGCCGGGCCCTCCTCCCCAGGAGCCCAGTGGCTCTGAGGAGTCGCCTCCTGGGGGGCACACTGTCAGCGCGCCTCTCAACACCCCCTGGATCCCTGAAGCGGTTCTGAAAGTCAGCTGAACCACGTCATACAGGACCCGTCACTTCCTCACTGGGCTCCAGGGGCAACTGTGACTTAGCTAGATAGCTGCCCAAGTCATGCTCAAACTGAAAAACTTTAGCAAAACTACAGATTATGGAAATACAGATGCTGGGATTGGTTTAAATCTTTCAAGGCAACACACCATGACTTTTCTTGCGGATGAATGAACAGGGCTGGCCTCAGCTTGAGAGTCTTAACATTTTGAGATCAGACTCCCGAGTATGGAGTTCCTGTCACATTCCGTCGGACTCTCAGCATCACCATGTTAGGCAATAATGTTTCCACACGTAATTTCACAGAAGATGCAGACATGTTTCAGTAAATTTTTACTAATAAAGACCTCTGCAGGTCACAGTGATGAGTATTTCTGATATCTCTAACCAACAAAGCATGAATTTGTCTTTTCTACATGTTATCAATTAATTAATGACATCTGGTAGTTTATCACAACATGACCCATCCCATCAAACTCAAGGAAATTTTTTAAAATGGATGAATTTAGTCCGATATCTAATAAAATTATCAGTAAACTTTTGGGACTTCCTAGGAGTATAATAATTACAAATATTTTTGTAATTATTACAAAATATAAAACATGGCCTCAAAAGAATTACATGGGAGGACACCCCACTAACGTGGACTCCATAAGCCCCTCAGCGAGGCATACAGCACACACAGAGCGCTTCTCCGCAGTCCCTTCCTGTGTGAAGAGCGGTTCAGGCATTTGCTGTCTAGAGATCCGGCCTTTGCCACCTGAGGTCCTGGAGGCCCTCTGCTCTTGTACAAAACAGGGGTAACTCAGACAGTGAGGACTGAAAGGTTGAGTTAAGAGGACAAATAGGACCAAGGGCTTTCGGCAGCAGGGGCACCTCTGTGGTAACACAGTGTGGGATCCAGGGCTGGTCAAGACAGAGAAGCTGCAGTCTCCCTTCCCTGCCCCTCATCTCCTGCCCTCCCGCAGACAAAATCGCTTTCCTTCCAGTGTGGAAACTGTTTTAACTCTCCTCTTAAATTTTTTCTTGACCGTGAGGTGGGGCTTACAGGATCTTAGTTTTCCCGACCAGGGACTGAACCCATGCCTCCTGCAGTGGAAGTGCTTAGTTCTAAGCCCTGTTTCACCAGGAAGTCCCAACTCTCTTCTCAAGTTAACCTTGAATTCCCTTATTAGGAGGCTGAGTTCAGAGTACCTACCTATCTTTTCTGAATTTTGGCAGTCCTGAAAATTTCGTTGGTGACAAATGATGGCTGCCTTCAAAACCTCCAATTTCCATGTAGTTTGGCATGTTCATTAGTGTTTTTCGTTCTGGGCTTTCTTCATAATTTTTGCAACCAATGCATTTGCAAATAGAAGAACACATAATTTTGGCCTGGTAACATAAAATGCTTTAATAAAATTAGGTTGCCCTACAATTCATCAAAAACTGACAAAAACTATTTGGACCTTAAATAATATTTATATTTGTGTGTGCACACAGTAGTAATCGCAATATTCACACCCAGAAAAAAAGGGAGAGGGGAGCAGTGAAGATGGGTGAGTGATGGTGATGTGAAGAGAAAGGCACATTTCTATCCACGTTGCTGCCGCCAGGGGTGAGGGAGGGAGGGGCTCTTGAAGGCAGGTGGGTGGGTGTGGGCGTGAGCCCTGAGCAGACAGCCGGGTCTCTCCCTTGCCCAGGGGCCACACAGTGAAGACTCTACCTGACCCTTGTCCTGCAGGAAGCCTGCCCTGGCCAATTCTAGAACTCCAGGAGCCCAGCCACCCTTCTCCTTCAGCACTGAGTGTGTGGTGCTGGCCCTGTGGTTGCAGAGAATGTGCTCATGGGTAAAACATGAAACCCACCCGAGGCCAGGCCTGTGGTGGGCATTCTAGGGGGAGGGCCTTCTTTCTTCCTTACGGGGGGACATTGCTTCTTGTCATATGGTCGTGTGACACTCAGGGCCGGGGGCCAACCCCTTGAGCCAGCTGGACCTGGGGCAGTGGGAAGACTAGCTCGTTTCTGGCCCCTTCATGGTCTCAGCCCCTGGGGGTTTCCTCAGGGAAAGTCAGACCTGCGTCTAAAGGAGTGTGCTTTCTTTTGCACCTCTGGGAGTTTTGAGCAGGAGGTTTTTAGGAATTTCTAGTCTGCTGTAATATCAGGCGCTGCAGGAAAGCAGGCTGGCACACTGCCTCGGCGCGACAGCAAGGACGCGGAGAAGAGCAGAGACACCGTGAGGATGTCTGAAAGCAGCTCCACTGGGGTGAAGCCACTGCCTTCCTGCATCTCCAGCTCGGCAGTATTTTTGCCTCATTTCCAAAATGTGAGCTAGGGGATTGCTAGGTCTGCTGGATCTCCAGAATCAGGAAGACTTTACTGAAGCCTGACTTCCTATGACAATCTTCTAAAAATAAAGTTCACAGGAACATCCCCAAGAGACCTCAAGCAAATCAAAGAGAGTCTTTGCAGGAGGGGCTTCTCGGCTGCTTCATTGACAGGGCTTGAGGGTTCCCTTCCTCCCTCTTTCTTCCTTTCCCTTCAGCACAAAGAAAGACAGAGAGAGACAGAAAACGGAGGTGAGTGAGGGATGAACCTAAGAGAGAAAACCAGTCCCTCTACTGCCTTTAAATCTTTTGAGGGAGAAAACAAAGCTCTGTCTGAGAACTGGTCAGCATCTCTCCAGCAGCAAAGGCAACTGTGCATTCTGGCCTCTGTCCACTCAGAAGTTGCCCCCTCAAAGCACCAGGGGAAGGCTCATCTGGGGACAAGGCTGCCCTCACTGCCCCTCCCAGAGCATCTCTGCTCTGCTCAGCGGGGCAGAAGCCCACCTCAGGGAGCCAACAGACTGCTGGCCCCCGAGGGTGGCTCCAGCATCAGATCAGCAGCCATAGAGCAGGCAAGGCTGTGGCACTGGGCACCCTCCCAGGACACTTGGGGTGAGCTCAGTGGGGACAACATGCTCCCAAAGGAGCCCTTGTTTCTTAAAGTGAAATTTATATTTGACACATTAAGGTAGATTGATGAGTGCTCTTTAGAAGTCCTGGAAGGAAGAAAACTAAATTCTTAATTAAATTTTTAACCACAAAGTTACTTAGCCCATTTACCTGGCTTTTAAAAATAATGCTTGGCAATTGTTGACTGACCTCATAGCACTCACAGTAGTTCTTAAGGCAGCCCGACCTCTTGCAATTACATCCTTTGTTATGTCGAGGTTTCACATCACCCAGTTTTCCTTTCCCAATTTTTGGTTGGAAAGCTTCTGGATTTCTATCAAGACATGCCTAAGACAGAAAATGCAAAACTCCATCAAGATATATTTTACTACTTAAAACAATGCTTAGTGCCAGGTATCTGGCTTGCCATAACTGGGTCTAGCTGTTACTTTAGAAGTGGCCACAATGAGCAGCGGGCTTCTATCCCCGTTCTGTTCCATTTTCACTCACTTGAATACTTAAAGGTGGAAGAGTGGACGGTAGAGATGCAAAGAAAATCACGGTGTCCCTGTGAACACAGCTCCTTCCCGGCTCCTGTGTGCATTGTTTCATGAGATGTCAATAGTTGGGGTCACGGCACTCTGCTACCAGATCACATTTATTAACATGCACTGTGTTCCAGGCATCTTCTGTGCAATGTATGAGCTCTCTCACTGAACCCTCACACAACCTTGTGGAGCAAACACCACCCCTCCTCTTGGTGTCTGATGGGTGAAGAAACTGAGGCGCCTCTTGGCGTCAGAAGATTGTGGCCCAGGGATGGCATCCGGTCTCCGAGTTCACAGCCAGCCCCAGGTCTCAACCACCTCTCTAACAAGATGACACTGTGCTCTTTATTAAGCTGAGTTGGGGCAATATGGACATCACAGCAGCAGCCTCATGCTTCCTCTCCCCTCACCACGAGCAGGGAGATCCGTCTGACACCAGAGCCTGGCTCTGCAGAAGGGCCTTTGCAGTGAGGATGCTTTGGTGTGTGTTCTAGTTTTTAGTGAAGCAGAAGGGATGGTGGAATATATTGAATTTGGACATTTGTGACCCCCGTGTGACCCCCACCCAGGCCAGGTCAGAGGACAGCCCAGCTCCCCACCTAATTGCATATAGTGTATTTTCTTTAAAGAAAATACAACAACGTTGAACTTCAGACGAATCACTATTTTTTTCTGTCCTGTGGATCTGCCTGTGTCAAAACTGATTTTCAATTGATTTATCTGTAAATTTAGGCAAGTTGAATTATTTTAGAAAAAAGCAGACGGACCATGGCGCAGAACGAGGCCCTGGAGGCCGGGTCTCCTCTGGTGAGTGAGGGGCACCGAGACGCGGCCTGGGCGAGTGGGCTGTGCTCCCTTCCCCGGCGGTCCTTCCTCACCCGTGGGGCGTGGGGGGGCGTGGGCGGGCGGTTAACCTTGCTTCTGCATTTAGTCTTTAGCCGGTGGCCTGAGGGGCTGTCCAAGGTGCTGTTCACCTCCAGATTCTCCCTTTCGCCCAAAAGCCAAGAAGAATAAAAATCAGCCAAAACTAACAATGGCTGAGAGCTTCCATCATGGTTTCTTCACACAGTGAACCATCTACATCTTTTCAGATTATACTCTTTGAACTTAGGTTTATCTGCTACAGAACACAATCTAAATTTCTAAACCCCAAATCAGGACAGAATAGATATCTGTATGTCCTTAAACCAGAAACTTCTGGGACCCTGCTGCCCCTCTAAGCCTCCTGAAACCAGTGGAGAACAAAGGTCTTTCTGTGGCTGCCAGGCTCGCAGCAGCTTCTGGTCATGGCCAGGGCCCCCACCTTCATGAATAGAGGCCTGTTTAGTGTATAGTCTTCAACACTTTTGGGTTTCCCCAGTATTGAAGTTGGAAACCTGTAGAGATTGCGTTGTGAATATTCCTGGAACTTTCGATGCACTGTTCTAATTGGAGTCTAATTGCTTTACAATGTTGTGTTAGTTTCTGCTGCACGACACAGTGACTCAGCTGTGTGCAATACGTCCCCTCCCTCCCGGCCTCCCTCCCACTCCCTCTCCCCACCCCACCTTCTAGGCCAGCACAGAGCACAAAGCTGAGCTCCTTGTGCTGCACAGAGTCCCCACTAGCATGTGTTTCACGCGTGGCAGTGTGTATACGTCGATCCTAAGCTCCGTTTGTCCTGCCCTCCCCTTCCCGCACCGCCCGTGTCCACATGTCCATTCCCTACATCTGTATCTCCATCCTGGTTCTGCAAACACGTTCATCTGCACCGTTTTTCTAGATCCCACATCTCTGTGTCACCATGAGTGTATTCACAGGACATGTTTACCTTGATGGCCTTGAACCGTTCGATTTCGTGCCGCAGATTGTTGCAGCAGTTGTTGCAGTTGCAGTTGTTGCAGACGTCCCCGCCAGCAAAGCAGTCACAGTACCTGCGGGCAGAGCACACAGCTGTCAAAGCCGCCCAGCGGCGAGGGGAGACGCGTGCACGCGCCTGGAGACAGGGCTGGCCGGCACGCTGGGCCAACACCACCTTGAGTCACCGCGTTCTCCTCTTTCGCGTAACTAGATCCACTGGGATGACGGTCTCCAGTGCCCAACACAGGAGAGAGAGAGTAGGGAAAATCGCTGGCTTCATAACACGGCAGTTGGCAGAATAAACAATTTCCCAGTCAGTGTCCACTGGCATCCTTTACCTCCTTCCCCTAATGCCCACCGCCCTTGTTCCAGGAGAGCTGTAAGCTAGTGAGCACAGAGCCGTTTTCCCAGCAACCATCCCAACGCAGCCAACACCACTGAATGCAGTTCACTTCTCGGCCGACCTGCCTGTGAGAAAAGCCTAAGGGACCCAGGGGCGGCCCCAGGTCTGGCGTACTCCCGCTCCCCGCCAGCATGTGGAGGCGGGAGACACGACCGGGGCAGAGACGCAGGTGAGTGCCGCCACACGTGATAGCCAGGTCTTCCACGTGCTCAGAATCCACAGACTGGCAGGCTGAGTAGACCCGTCTGAGCATCTGCCTCCCACCCTGCGGCCCTGGAGTCAGACAGGCAGTTCCCTGTGGCTCAAGGGCAGCGGCCAGCACCTTCTCTGCTGCGTCGTTCTTGAAGAACTCTCAGTGTGATGACCATGAACTGCTTCACATGCTCTGCAGGAGCTTCCTCTCGTGCCACACGACCAAGGCTTTTACAGGCCTGAGGTTTTTCAGGGTGAAGAGGGACAAGACACTTTCCTCAAATCATGTAAGAATTAAGTGTCTGCTCAAAGACTTCTAACAACCTGCCTGTAATCTGCACCCCTGAGAGGCTTTAGGAGGCTCATCAGCCACTCCACGGCTTCAGCTTGTGACTAGAGAGGACCCATAGTGTTCTCTTCCTGAGTGCAGTTCATGGAAGATAGCTTCGTATGCAGATTTGATATCAGCTCTGCTACTAGCTTCCCATGTTACCTGATCCAAGTTACTTATGTCAGCGTCTAGAGCCAGGACATGGGAGTTCTGCCACTTGACTGCCTGCTCTCACAGAGCTGCTGAGGGGAGGCCTGGAGCCTGCTGTGCTTCCTCCGGCAGAGTGCTGCATGAAGGCAGGAGGGCCTCTGCGTCTGGCTATGTGGTGGACTAGATGCTTGCAGAAACCTTCCTGTTATAGAATTCCTAAGTACAATTTTTTAACATCTATTATTTTAATATTTTAAATAATGTGTCAAAATCCATGCTAAACAAAGGAGAGAGTAAAGGAGACTGTCGGATGTGAAAGGAAACTATGAGTCCAGAGGGGTGAGCCCTGCAGCTGCCACGCGTTGTCCTGGACCCTCTGCTGGTCCCTAGCGACCTGGGGCTCAGGTTCAAATTGGCCACTCCTGCAGGAGATAGTGTCTGAGCTACAGAAGGTGGGAGTTGGATCAAATGACCCCTTATAAAGTGTGAGTCCTTGAAAGGCAAGCTTCCCACAAATCCACTTCACGGAGATTTCAGAGCACAGGGACCAAAAAGAAGATCCCAGAAGGTTCTAGAAAGAATAATACAGGTTACATACAAAGGGTGAGAAAAAAATTTCATAACACCACCGGAAACTAGAAGAAAATGGGGCAAAGCCTTCCAAATCCTAAAGGAAAACTTAATTAGTTGAAGTTGAAAATCCTACCATCCATCCAAAGTGATCATCTTAGTGTGAGGAGAGACATGACACTTTCAGACAAGCACAGTCTGAAAAGACTCTCTCCCAGCACTCTTGGCTGGGAAGCTGCTGGAGGTCATGCTGCCTGAAAACAAGGCAATGAATCAAGAATGAGGAAGATAATGCTATCCAGGGGCCAGGGGGTCAGATATGAGGAAGAAGCAAAGGAAACCCTGGGACGGATGCTGGAAGGAGGGTCCACAAGGAGACCTGTACCTAGGGCTGGAACCAGCCCCTCAGGAGCGGGACCTTGTCGGCTGCAGGAAAGGCTTCCTCCAGACCAGGTCACTGCATACCTGTGTGCTCGCACATGTCGAGAAAGCACTTACACAAGCGGAGGAGAGTGAAGGGTTAAGTTAGTGTTAGGTGCGTTTAAAAGCTAAGTATTAACGGGAGGGGGAAGAGAAAGAAGCTGAGGAAAAACATTAATCAAGCCTCACTACTGATCTAACAAAGTACATCTGATTTCTGGGAACAGGCCATGTGCAGTTTGGGAGGGGGTTAGGTGTGAGTAGGAAGAGGAAACAACTTTGTGGGTTCTCAGATTTCAAAAAACTAATGAACCTCAAAAAAGTAAATAAAAAGAAAAATCAAAGATAAAAAGAAAATTGTAAAAACACCAGAGACAAAAGACATTACCTAGACTGACCACTGACTTTGTGTTAGAAATAATGGAAAACAGTAGAACAATATTTTTATGCATGGAGAGGAAAAAATGGCAATCTAGAATTTTATACCTAGTCAAGCTATGTCTAGTCACTGAGATCCAAGCCAGGCACACTTCTTTTACTGCTCTACACACTTTGCTGGGTGATTTTATTTACTGGCTACTTTTTAAAACTTTGGGCTTCCCTGGTAGCTCAGTTGGTAAAGAATCCATCTGCTATGCAGGAGACCCCAGTTCGATTCCTGGTACAGGAAGATCCACTAGAGAAGGGATAGGCTACCCCCTCCAGTATTCTTGGGCTTCCCTGTGGCTCAGCTGGTAAAGAATCCACCTGCAATGCAGGAGACCTGGGTTCCATCCCTGGGTTGGGAAGATCCTCTGGAGAAGGGAACAGCTACCCACTACTGGTCTGGAGAATAGGGCTGCAAAGAGTTGGACACGACTGAGTGACTTTCACTTTCTTTTAAAAAAACTTTATGTAGAATATTTGTAAATTTGTGTCACCAAAGTCTCATTTTCTTCTTTCCCAAGCATCAGGAAAGGGTTTCCTCACTTGCTGCTCATCCTTCCTCATCCCCATCCACTCTTTACCCTGCGGCTGTCGGACCATCTTCCTGCCTTCCTCTAACTCTCAGAGCTGGCCAACAGCCTCCTTAACCAGAGAATGCAAGGGCCTCTGCACCGCATTTACCTCGCAGCAGTGTGTGACACTGTCAGGCTCCAGAACAGCTTCCCTACTGTCTATCAGACATTTCCACCTTCAACTTAGGGTGTCCACACCTTAACTTCTGACCTTCGCCTTCAGTCTCCACCCCGCTCTTGCTGTAGTCTCGCTGCATTTGTGGTGTCATCACCCACCCAGTGACATGACCCTGAGTCATTTCTGATAACTACCTTTCTCTCTTTTCTCATATCCAGGAGGTTACCAAGTCTTCTGATTCTGACTCAGAAATGTCTTTGCTAATTGTATTCTTGATACAAGAAAATAACATTTGTTGTAGTTTTTAAGAATATAAATAAAAAGAAAAAATTAAAATAATTTAGAATCCTTCTCCCTAGAGATGACCATTTGGTGAATATATTTCAGAGTTTGTCTGTAAAACTATGCAAGCAAGCAAGCAAAGTCACCCAGTCATGTCCGACTCTTTGCAACCCCATGGGCTGTGGCCTACCAGGCTCCTCCGTCCATGGGATTTTCCCGGCAAGGGTACTGGAGTTCCTTCTCCAGGGGATCTTCGTGACCCAGGGATCAAACCCAGGTCTCCCGCATTGCAGACAGACGCTTTACCCTCTGAGCCACCAGGGAATATTGCAAAACTATGCATGTTATCAATAACTACATACTGCTTTGTTACATATAATACATAAAAACAAGATCATATTCTATACAGTTTCAATGTGATTCCACTATGTATCAAAGTCAGTAATCAATATGACAGCTTGCTTTTATTACTTATCAATATGTGAGTTAATATTACACATAAATAGATTCACACCACTGTAATGACTACACTGTATCCCACTCTATAGTACCATCACTACAGAGTGATTAATAATTCCCCTTAAACTGAACATTCAGATTATTTTGTAAATTTTGGCATAAAGAACAATACTATGCAAATGGCACTGGCCTCCTTTCTGTCCCCAGAACCCTGTGCCCTCTCTCTCTTGCCACATGGTCTTTGTACCTGCTCTTTCGACCCACTTGGAATCCACCTCTGCCTCACTAGCCGCTGATCAACTCCCATCCCAAACCCCTTCCTCCCTCAGGAGGACCTTCCCGGGGCCATGCGTGGTCGGCGCCCCACCACCCTCTGCCCACTGCTGCTCCTCAGCCACACGCCCACCACGACCTCTGCGAGTGTGACTGCTCTATTCACGTCTGTCTCCCCAGCTAGACTCTGAGTGTCAAGAGGGCAGGGACCATAACTTATCTTGCTAATTTCTGTTTTCTTTACCCCTGAAATCATAGGAATCAAAAATATTTGTGGAATGGATAAATAAGAGTGAAAAATGTATACGTCTTTTTATATACAGTTTGAAATGTCTCTTAAATCTGTGGGTTTTTCCTCATCCTGATCTCTGCCCTAGTCCAGGTCATCATCACTTTTGTCTATGCTGTTGTGATAGTCTCCTAGCCTTCAACTTCCTCCACTTTGCCAATAGCTTTTTAAAACATATATGAGGCAAAAGGAAGCAAGGAAAAAACAGAAATCAGAAAACACAAAAGTGGTATTCCGCATTTCTGGTGGGAATACAAAATGGTGTAGTCTCTGTGAAAACCAATAATGTGTTTCCTCAAAAAGTTAAATAAAAAATTACCATATAATTCAGCAATTCCACTTCTAGGTATATACTCAAAAGAAATGAAAGCAAGAACTCAGACAGACACTTGCACACCCATGTTCATGGCTGCATTATGCACAATAGTCAAAGGTAGAAACAACCCAAGTGTCTATCAACAGATGATGGACAAACAGTCAGTGGATAAACAAAGGTGGTTTATGATGCAGTGGGATATTAATCAACCTGGAAAAGAATAAAGTACTAATACATGCTACAACATGGATGAACCCTGAAAATATCATGTTA